ATTTTATAAATTTTAAAATTAATTATCCGGTTCAGCAATTGACCCGGTGACCCGGCGGTTGAACCGGTGACCCGGTGACCCGAAGACCTGCCCGGGTCATTTACCGGGCCGGGTTTAAAAACTATGGGTAGATTAATATGATTTGATTTGTCTTCTTATGGTAGGTAGACTGTGTATATCGTGTATATTTTATATATTGTCATCAACATCAACATACCCATACTCAGTATATTCCCAACATGTTGGGGTCTGGGGGGTCAGTTGTACGCAGACCTTACCCTTGTAATTATACAAGGAGGCTGTTTCCATAGCGACCCAAGGTGCGTTGCGTCGTTTGATATATTTTTTTTTTCTAGAAACTTCACTAATAGAAGAAGCACTAGAATTTAATTGAGCAATTTTGATCATCGAACCTCATACTATTATACTTCCCAACCATTTGCCATTTGTGGGGTGGCTGAGACATTCCCTATGTATTGTGATAACCAAGCGATTCACATTGCTAGCAATCTTGTTTTTCATGAATAAACTAACCTTATTGAGGCCCATTTCCGCATTATCTACTATTGTATATTTTATACAAGACAAAAGATTGTTACTCCTTTTATCCCATCATGCTTGCTTAAATCTTTACAAAAGCATTAAATATGAGGCGTTTGCTAAGCTCAAGTTGGGCATGAATGATATATATGCTACAACTTGAATGTTTTGTGTTATAATATTGTGTATATATGATTATATTCTATTGTTAAAATTGTTTATGTCTTCTTATTGAGTAGATTGATTTGATTTGATTTCATTTATCTTCGTATTGAAGGTAGATCTTGTATATTTGTTACATATTTTATTTTGATTCTTTTTTCCTACTATAAATATTGGGGGTTTGTACTACACATACACAATAAAAAAATATCTTCTTTATGATTCTCTTCTTTCTCTGACACTTTCAATGACAACATCAGATTTTCTATTGGAAGGAAACTAAAGCTAACAATGAGGCTTATCCTCTTCTCCAAGAAATTTCTAAAATTGAAAAGCAGAAAAGGTAACTTGCTAAAGAAAGGGGAAATTCGCTCGACCCTTCAATTTGCAAACTGTACATCCAAGAGCAGATTGAGGTAAATATTGTTTACCTATAGTGGTTCTTTTCTTTCCTTTTTTTGTTTTCATCTCAAATTGAGCTAACTGTTGTGTTTATGATATTAACGACATTAGTTGGTAAAACGATTTCCGATTGAGAAATTGTACGCTGAGGCTGACGAGCTCATTCATAAGGTTTGTCCTATATATGAGAAGCAACGAATGGTGGGAGAAATCAATGTATACATTGCTAAGACTAGTCGCGCTATTGTTAGAGAACGAATGGGTTTCTGGCAACGATTTCAAGAGGTATAACATTTAGTGTTAGAGCTGATTGTAATTTTGTTTTATATGGTTTTCTTTGATCTTAAATCCTCTTCTTTAAATAATTTTCATCAGCATCCATCCTCCGAGGAAGCAGCAAAGAAGGGCCAGAGTAAAACACACGTATCGAATGGATTGGACAAGACTCTCGACTTGTTGCACACCATGGTATGTTGTTGATCATTTGCATTTAATCACTTCTTTATCTTGTTTTCTCCAATCTCTTTCTATTGAGTGGTCTTTAATGTTTAGGTCGATGTGTTCAATAGCCAGTGGAAAAGGGAGTACGTTCCTTTCTTTACTCGCACAGACCCTAAAAGGCAACAGACTATTAGTAGCTAGCTGTTGTGCCAAATTGGAAAATGGGATTATTTGATTTTTGTTCGAAGTTGGGATCTTATTTACTTATCAGCAGCTTTTTTTGGCTTCGTAAGTGGGGATAATGACGTTAGATATTGGATTAACTAGAATGTCAATATTATCAAACCTCATTTTCCAGGCATTTGTTTGTATATATCTGATAATAGTAATAGAATGAATGTATGAAGCTGTATATTTAAGTTATCCTCTCGTGCCTGATTAAATCTAGTCTCATTTTACCCTTAGAACAAATAGAGACAAGAATAGTAGGAATTTGCTGGTTGCTTGCTTATTCTTTGGTTTGGATTTTACGATATTATTTCGCGGTCTAATATGTTGGGTCTATAGATCAGTTGAAATCGATGTCTGTACTCTATACCTATGGTTTGTATTTTTATGTCTGTTTTGTGCATAGATATCACCCAAACACCATTCCGATTGTCTTTAATCTACCTTAATAACGCTTTATATTTATGAGGTGATATTTTTTGCTTAAAGAATCACTCCAGTTTTCCGCTCTATAAAAATCAATTAAGTTATAAAAAAAAAAAAAAAAGTTGCAGCGATTTCATTGAATCAGCCCCTTCGGCAACACACTATGGCAACTACACATGACATTTTTTGCTAAAGTCGCGCTCAAGGAGATTTTTGGTCTTTAACGGGGCTCCAAGTTTTTGGGTTTTTTCCATTTTAAGTTAGGGATGTAGTGATGTCTTTGTGTAAGGACATCTTAAACAGTTTGTTGGTTGCTTGCTTTTGCTTTTGTTTAGATTTTACGATATTATGTTATGTGGGAGGTGTGAACAGTTTATTTGGTTTGTTTTCATTTGAATGATGCTTTTTTTAGGTTTTTTGCTAGATATTCTGAATTGTATTGTTACACAGTTCGAATTTGATTTCTCATTGAGTTTAGTTGATTTTATGCTGCTTGTGGTTGTGCTTTGATCCTTCTTTTGTTTTTGGTTTCTCATTGAATTCAG